TTGGGCCCCTGGGCACAGCCCCCCTTGCTGTGCCCGCCTTGTGGCTGGCACAGGAGCCACGTGGTAGCGGGTGTCCCCGTCTCCCTGCTCCAGGCCCACCTTCCGGTACTTCACCTGGCACACATGCCTGCTGGGCATCGCGGGCTGCTGCGTCATGATGTTCCTCATCAGCCCCGTGTCAGCCTCGGTGAGCCTGGGCTTCCTCCTCATCCTCCTCCTCGCCCTCCACTACCTCTCACCCAGCAGCACCTGGGGCTACATCAGCCAGGCCCTCATCTTCCACCAGGTGAGCCCTGTTTGTCTCCGCTGTCCCCTCATGGGGTGGAGAGCTGGTGTCCCCAGGATGGTATCCCTGTGGCAGCTCTGTTCCGGGCAGCATGTCCTTGGAGCTGGCATGCCCATGGGTGGTTTGTTGAAGGAAGGAGGGTTCTTCACCTGCTGGCCTCCCTTCCTCCAGGTGCGGAAGTACCTGCTGATGCTGGATGTACGGAAGGACCACGTCAAGTTCTGGCGCCCGCAGATGCTGCTGATGGTGCAGAACCCACGGGGCAGCGCCCGCCTCATCGACTTTGTCAACGACCTCAAGAAGAGTGGCCTCTACGTCCTGGGCCACGTCGAGCTGCAGGACTTGGGTGAGGGTCTGCACTGTCGCCGGCACTGGTGGCCTCTGCCCCATGCTTGGGGGCTCTCAGAGTCCTTGAGGTGATGCCGCTGCACAGATCCTGGCTGAGCAGGGTGGGCACGGTGAGGAATGTCAGCATTTTGGGCACGTGTGGCACCATGTGCTTGGCATGGTGTGGAGGACATAAGTAGCTTCTGTCTGTCCCATGCCTCCTGTGCACACATGCTTGCATACGTGTGCTGGAAGTTTGCACATGTGTGTGCTCAAGTATTCATCTCTCCATGTACACACGGGGCTCCTGCACGTGTCGGTGCTGGTGTGCACACATGGCACCCATGTTCCCGCAGTGCGGTTCCGGCGCACAGGTCAGCACCTGCGCACACCCAGCACACACGTGGGCACACACGCGGCACAGCCTTGCCACGTGCCTGTGCCTGTGTCCATCCTCGCCTCCTGCCTGCCGCTGTGCATCCATGTATTTCAGGCGTGTTTGCACGCCAGTGCGTGTTGGTTTACACACGCATGCTCCCTGGCACACGTCGTGGCTGTCCCCGTCCCCACCCCAGCGGATGCACGGGCTCTGCTCCCCCCTCCCCGCCGTTGCCGTGGTGACTAATGGCCCGAAATTGGGGAGGGGGGGGGGGGGGGTGGCTGGGGT